GGAGCGGGAGCGGGAGTCAGAGCGAGAGCGGGAGTGGGAGTGGGAGTGGGAGTGGGAGTCAGAGCGGGAGCGGGAGCGGGAGCGGGAGTCAGAGCGGGAGCGGGAGTCGCAATCGGAATCCGAATCGGTTGGAGCAGGGCGGGAGTGGGCGCTGCGGTGTGCTCGGGTCTGTGCTCAACAGGCTCCAGCGGCCCCTTCGCTCTGGAGGGGACGGCGGGATGGAGGGGTCCCGCGGGCTCTCCTGCTGCGCCCGGCGCCCCTGCCTCCGGGCCTCAAGGCTTCAGCCGGGTTCTTTTCCCCGCGGCCGGCCCTGTGAGGACTCGCGGACCAGGCAAGTCGGACGAGCCCCGAGGCCCGGGTTCTGCCAGCCCCAGGAGGGCAGCTGTGCGGTTCGGACATCTGTTTGGACCTGTGGGTCAAAGAGTTAAGGAAGCTGGGCGTGGTGGCGCAGGCCTGGGTCTCAGCGCCCTGGCAGGCTACAACAGGACTGAAGTTCGGAGCCCAGCTTGGGCAGTGCAGCAATTGAGGGCGGCCCTGTCTCAAAACAAAACACAGAGGGATGGTGATGCAGCTCAGTGTGAAGGCGCTGGGTTCCATTACCAGTCCTGGGGAAACAAAAGTAATTTAGTGAGCTAAAATAGTGCCAGGTCCCCCTCCGGTGCTTTTGAGAACATTTGTCACTATACCGTGCCATCACTTTCCACATGTTTTCTTAAGCTGTTCTAAGTAGCCATCGGCGTCGAAAAGACAAGCCACAGATCGGCCATCTCCAGAGCCAGTTACCTGGAGGAGAAGGGCTTGAGCAAGGTCAGAGCGGTCTAGAGAGAGGCACCATCCCCGCTCGGGATCACTGGGCCTACATTGGTAATAAAAACAGCCTCTCCAAAAGCCAGCAAATAAAAGACCCCTAAAAGCGCAGCCCTATTTTTAATGGGAGCGATTATTAGCAACTTGACGGAGGAAGAAAGTGCTGGATAAATGTATTATAGATAAAATGCTGTCAGGAGAGACAGGTTACTTCATGACTCCAGAACACTGATTTTGGATTTTAACTTAAATATCTCAGTCCACTGAACTGTCTAGAAGGAAAGGAAACTCGGCAAAGCAAAGCAGGATGCAATCGTTTCCAAGTTATGGAGGGAGTCTAAGATATCTATCAAAAACATGATGATGATTTTTGGTACTAAGGATTGAACCCAGGGCCTTAGCATGAAACTATATTCCTATCCCCTTTCTTATATTTTATTTTGAGGCAGGTTATTGCTAAGTCACTAAATTGTCCAAGCTGGGCTTGTGATCCTCCTGCTTCAGCCTCCCAGAGTGCTAGGATTATTGGTGTCATCAGTAATTCTACCTACTTGGAAGGCTGAAGCAGGATGATCCAAGTTCAAGGCAAGCCTGCACCCTGTCTTAACATAAATAGTAATTCTGAGATATAGCTCAAGAGTCCCTAGGTTCAATATCCAACATTAGAAAAAAGCAATGTATCTTTTCCCCACTAAAACATTAGTTTTACCTATACTTGTAATTTTAAAATAATTGCAACAAAATATGAGACTTGATTTTTTTCCCAGTGGGAAAATATTTTTCTGATGAATTTAAAACAAGCAAACAAAACCCACTTTAACAAAAAAGAAAAATGACAAGCGTTTCTTAGAAAAAAAGAGAAAAGCTCCCTTTCAGTGTATGTATGTAGCTATAAATACTTTTCCTCACTTACACTATTGGATGGGAAGGTGCAGTTTACACAGGCTTAACACATACTCCCAAAGACGTGATTATGAAATGCGTCCAGATAGGACAGGTCATACAGAGATGGTGCTGAAGAATGTTCTAGAATATGTGGAAACAAAAGGGAAGTCAGGGCAAGAGGCAGCCTGCTTCAGAGTTACTACCTTTTTATGCAATAAAGGGTTTATAGAACTTAGACTAAAATGACAGCAAACCACATCCTTTGTTCAATAATCATTTTATTTACTTATGTCACTGTGAAACTTGGGAATAATATTCACCACAAATTTGCAGGCATCATTTTACAGTACAGAAGACTGATTTGTCTTTAGGAAAAGAACAAAATGGATTGTGACACTGGCTTACTGCAGAAGTGCTGGCCACGAGCAAATAATAAAAAACAGTAAAATTCAGTGCCTTTGGCAAAGATATGGACACTGTTTTCGATGCAAATAGAATACATGCCCTTTGCTTACAGTTTAAATACACACCCATCTTGTTTTGTACAGTGGCTTTTTTATTCATTCTCCAGAGTCAGAAGGGTGAGACAGTCTCTAAACAAAAACGTCCCCAAAAGCTTCCTGCCAGCAGTAATCATCATGCAGATTCACCATCTTGGAAGCTCCTTTCAATGCAATTACCCCTCAGCTTTGCACCAAATGTGGTGACAGTTTGCATATATAAAAGCAATAAGGAACTCGCTTAGACTGTGCCCTTCCCAAAGCTCTAAGCAGAAGCCCCACAAAAATGTCTCTGAATTGCTGTGTACAGGAGGCTGAAAGTGGCTGTATTTTGGGTGAGAAATAAATATAAAAAGCAATGTCTGTTTAACTGTTTGCAGAATAGGATAAATAATTCTCTCCAAATAACTCTCTACATCAAGCAAAATAACATGCGGGATGTTCCAAGCTAAACTGTAAATCTTCACTGGTACAAACAGAAAACTTAAATTTGCGAGTTTCAGGCCCTGCAGTTCTCTGGGCAGGGCAAGCACCAACTGGGGCTTCTCTTCATTGACCAACCTCTTAAAAGGTTTTAGAGTTCTAGGGATGTAAGAGTTGATTTTTTCCCTTTCCAGATTCTAAATTACTCACCACTTCAAATGCTTAAACTCCTGTATTTCTCTTTCCTGCTTGGTAATGTTTTATTAGATAATCATATTTAGGAACCAACCAGTCTTCCTTTCTCAGCCAGTGACTCCTGACTACACCAGCAGCATGCAGCACTGACATGCACATAATTTGGATAATCTGTTCCACTAATAAGGGAGTCATTAAACGTTCAGGATCATTTATTGAATGCCTGCTGTATATCAGCCACAGGGAAACAGGGAGATGAATAAGATCCATTTTCTGTTACTGAGGGACTCATGGAATTCAGGAGGAAAATAGTTTGGAGTTTGGTATGTGAATTCCAGAATGGCCAAGTATTTGGCACTCCAAGAAAACAATAAACTTTTATATTCCAGAGATAATCTTTTTAGTTTAAGATGGGTCTACCGGATTCTAATTTGGTGAGGAAAATTTTACAAACACTTTTTTTTTTTTTTTGCAGCTGAGAGTAGGGCTTCCTTTTCTATCTTTCGCTATAGTCCTTTATGTGGAATGTGTTGTCAGCGGAGATGTGCGTCTCCTGGGATCTCTGGGTGATTATGCAGGGTGCTCCTAGTCCATCCTAGATGGGTGGTGTAGGAGTTCTGAGCTAAGTCTGAGTTTTCAGTAGAGCAAGAGGCCTAATGCCACACTAATCATTTGGACATCTGCTTCCACCCAACCCGGTGCCGGGTCCCCACCGTCTGTGCAGCCGTGAGTCGTGATGTGCACCTCACACACTAACACAGTTCACAGTGGACTTGCCCACCGAAAACTGTGTCGTTACCGACTTACACTGAGCATAGCTGTTCTAGACTTACACTGAGCATAGCTGTTCTTTGAACTTGATCCTCTTTATTCACTTTACTCTCTTAACATGAGTCTCCTTTCTCAGATGGCAAAAAAAATTCTCCAGTCCCAAAGAGCACTGGGTTACCACTCTCAGAAGCTGTCTCTCAGGTCTGGAGTATTTATTCATACAGCATTCTAGAGCTTGAATGTGGAGAGCCACAGACACGAAAGAAGAGAGCATGTGCCTGACATGTGGAGGAAAAGTAGTCAAATTATCTTTAAACCTATTACAGCCTGGAATCATCCCATTTAGACTGGTTTGCTGCACATTGCATTGGGGAGAAATACTCTTGTGGAGGAGATGGCAGTAGTAGGATGATTTAGGTTGAAGGAAGTGTAACTTTAAATGCTTTCTAGCTTTTAAGATAACTGCCTCGAGTGTTATCTTCTATGAAGTTTCAGTCTCACTGTGAGAAGTACCACTGCAAAATCAAGACAAACTTTTTTTTTTTGTGATATGGGGGTTGAACCCAGGGCCTTCACATTGAGCTACACTCTCAACCTTACAGTGTCTTGCTAAGTTGCTAAATTTCCCAGGCTGGGCTTGAACTTGCAATCTTCCTGACTCAGATTCCCGAGGTGCTGGAATACGACATACCAGCTGAAATAAACTTTTGCTACCCAGCAGCTCAGATGGTCCGAGCTCAGGTGAAGGTTTCAGACTGGAACATCTTACCAGTAGAATTCCAGGTGTACCAACAAATTTCAAGAGTTCTTTAGAGTTTGTTGTGTTGAAAATGTAAGTAACTTTATGCATATATGAAATCTGAAAACTTCAAGTGTTTACCATATTTTCCATATTATATTCATTATGGTAGCTATAAAGTTCAGACCATTCTTCCTTTTTGACCCATTGGCTATCAGAAGGTAAATGAGAGAGCCAGGCACAGTGGCGGATGTCTGCAATCCTGGTACTCTGGGAAGCTCAGGCAGGAGGATCACAGGTTTGAGTCCAGCCTGGACAACATAGGACTTAGTGAAACCCTGTCTCAGAATAAAAAAATATAAAAAGGGCTAAGGATGTAGCTCAGGGTGAAGGTCTTACATTCAATCATCAGTACTATAAAAATAGAAAAAAAGGGTGAATTGGAGATGTGTCAGTGTTATTGCTCAGTGTAAGCGTGGGGAAAATTTGGGTTAAGTGACAGGTATGTCTGAAGCCATGTACCTGGATGGTGACAGGAGACCAAGAATGAGACCAAGAATTCAGGGCTCCTTGTTCTCAGGTCAGTGCTTCTTCACTGTACTGCATCAGCCCCATTTGTCCTCACGCGCTGCCAAAGCCAGACCGGGTTCCATCGCTCAGACGCATGTCCCCGTCTTGGCGCATCTCTGTGCAGGAAGTCCAGGACACCCAGGACAATCCCCCTCTGTCTTGCTACAGTATGTGTCAGGCTTTACCAGGCCTGAGCCTGGGGAGCCTCTCTTCCTTGCTGGAGGCAGGGCTGAAGCAGCCAGTTTTGTAGCAGCCCCCAGCCTTCCTGCCTTTCTCCCTCTGCATAGCAGCTGGTCCCTCTCTGCAGAGCCATGGGACCTGCCCTTCTCCAGCACAGGAAGTGGGATGGAGAGTGTCCTATGCCTTCTGGGTCTTTAACCACAGCAGTGTCTGATGCTTATGGCTCTTGGTTTGCCTTCTTTCAGTTAGAGTCTAGAACTATCAGCTACTGAGGTGTGAACAGAGATGGAGCCCATGTAGTGAAGGCTGAGTTTGAGCGGGACAGGGTGCTTCAAGATAGGAGGCAGAAAGGTCATAGAAGGAAAGTGTAAAAAATGGGCGAAAGAAAGCAGAACCAAAAAGAGGGAAAAAGGGGACCAGAGTGCTTACTTCTCCTGTTCATCTGTCAAAGCTTGGAGAACAGAGTGTGTGAGTGTGTGTGTGTGTGTGTGTGTGTGTGTGTGCACGTATGATGCATGAAAGGGAGGGAGAGTGGAAGGGAGTGAAGGGGAAGGAGAGAAGGGAGCAAGGGGGGATGACAGAGATTACATGTCTCCGGGGTATGGTTTCTTTTCCTCTTTCAATTGCAGTAGATAATCCTGTAACTCTGCAAACCTCATTTGTGTGCGAATGTGGGATGAAATAATTCAATTCCAAGACTGGGGATAAAGATATTTTCATATTTTGTAAATGCTAACTTCCTCTTCTAAAGACAAGTGCTATGAGAAATACATGTGTAACTAATGTCCAGTTGCATGCATTCACTACACCTTCAGTTAAACTTTGTATTTGAAGTAATCTATTTTGCTTGTCTTCCTTTTCTGAAAAGGGCCCAAGGGTTGGACATATTTTGTATAAAGTGTCAGCCGATAGTAATTAGGAGCAGCTTTCATCTGTAAGAGATTTAAAAACAATTCAACCTAAAACCAGCAGCAAAAAAGGAGAGCTAGAGTTTTGGGATTGTTCCTTTTGTATCATTACCATCTCATAAAAGGACAAGAATCAGGAGATACTCTTGTTTAAATAGAATCCTAATTAACTCTTTAAGTTCTATGCAAGCTCAGGGTTCCTCTGTTTCTTAAATATAATTTATTTTCTTTTTAAATACAGGGAACAGTTCCTTTGGAGAAGGAGGCAGGGTGGAAGTTTCCCATAAGGGTGGGGATTACTGGTATATTGGGAGACTCGAAACAGCATTCACATATTTACGAGTGCCTGGTCAATCTGAGTAATAAGATAGAGATGCACTCACCTACTGGACATTTCACAAGGATACACAACATTCTCTAGTTAGCTATTCACATTAGAAAATAGTCTCTGGTTTTTCTTGTTCTTTGGTTGAATATGGGCCACAAATTAAAATAAAATTCTTACAATTTGCTTTCCCCCCTTGTAATATGATTTCACACACAATGGTGAGGGGGTGCTTTGTTCAGTCCCCCTTAGATTTCATTAAAGAGTGCTTTCAAACATTTATATTGAAGTGACAGTTGACCTTTTACTACCTAGAAAGAGCTAGGTACTTGCGGATACCAACAAGATGACATTTTTCTTTTTCACCACAGGAAAGCTCAATGGACTCACTGCTCAAATGGAGCTTAAAAGAATCACTTTCAAAGGATACCATGACTGAAGAAGTCATATTTATCAACATTAAATAAACACTTGGTGAAGTATGCATAAATATTTCTTCATAAAAACATAACACGACATTAAATAGATCAGATACACACACACCACTGAGTACACTTCCACTGCTCAAAGTTGTCTGTAAACACCACCTCACACTGAATACAAAAGCAGCTTGGGTCCCAGCTCTGGGTCTACCACACAGATGCTGGGACTCAGGGAAGAGGCTTCTGTGCCTTCCCACCTCCCCTACCCTCCCACCCCCCTCCCGCAGCCCCAGCGAAAGGAAAAGAAGAAATCCCTACAATGACAGCAGCAGTGAGACGACAGCAGGAGCAGCAGGACCCATCCCCTCCCCTGGGGAAAACATCAAGCACTGGGGACAATTCAAAGGCTAATACAAAATTAGTTTTCAAAAGGTAAGGAAATCAATTTGAAGCAATACTTTCCAAGTCTAATTCTTTCTTCAGAGGCCAGGTCACTCCTACCCCACGTATTCCTGGGCGAAGGTTACACATGGAAGGCCAGAAGGCCAGAAAGCCCTGGCCACTGCTAAGCAACAGGGGTCAGCTCTAATTTCCTTTAGAAGATGCCAGGTAGCAAGAAATCAAATATAATATTTTCCTCCACCCCTCCTCACCCCAGTGTTCCTTTTGCTTTGCAGTATATATTGCTGAGTGTGACATTCAAATGTGACACTAGGATTGAGTTTCAAGCAGTTTAGATTGCAGACATTTTGTTTTGAAACATTCAGACTTGGATGACTAAATCCAAAAGTGTGGATGTGGTTCATTGCTTAGCTCAGAGGGGCCCCGACTTAGCTCTGTGGATGGAGAGGTCAGTAAAGAGACTGCTTATGCCCAGAGTCCAGCCAAGTGACACTGCCCGACTGACTCTTGAGGCTGTCTACTCTGCACAGGTCTGCTGGGATGGCCTGGCTGCTCTCTGCTGGATATTCTTCAGGGTGGTTTGTGGAAAACATACCCAGTGTTAAAAATGTTAAACTGGGTTTATTTCACTTTTATATTGTATAGGATCCTAGAGAACTTCAGTTACCAAAGTACTGAAAGCATATATTGCAGGAATAATTTGCCAGTTCAGTGCTTCCCATTATATTATATACACCGTGTGTGTGTGTGTGTGTGCATGTGTGTGTAACTCACACACACATGCATACACACACACATATATATACTTATGCATTTTTATTTGTACTAAACCAACTCACAACACAATATTTTGCGAGAATCAGGAATCAAGTCCACAAATAGAGTTCAACAACACACCAAAGAGAGGATGGAAGCTCTATTGGGACAAGAAGGTTCAGCTTTGCAACATACGGCATAATTTCAGAACCACAGATTCATGAGCCTGATGTATTCCACATGTGGTCTGGATCGGCACTTGGAATCCTTGGGAAGAACAGCACAATCGGGCCGGCTAGGTTTATCTGCAATTCCAGAGCTAACAGGAATTAAAAGACCCGGGCAAATCAATTTGCTGTGAAGCAATATTTTTTTCCTCTTTTTTAAAAAAAGAAACAATGTCTATTTCAGAATAAATTTCTTTATATTCAGTAGTAGGCTTTTTTTTTTTTTGCTGAATTGGTATTTTACTTTTTATGTTAAAATCAGTTTATTCAATGGGTCAGTAAACAAGCAGCTTCTTTCATATGTGGGTGATAAAATTTTTTTTTTTATCACCACCAGGAATCACCCCCACCCTCACCTTATTCCTTCTAAGGTCTGTGGGTTGATGTGTGCGTTTTGTCACTGCTATGCATCAAAGCTCCTTCTACAAGGCCTGCTCAGGCACACGCTTGTGGAAAATGACAGACTGTCTTTGCTGGTACTGCTGCTTGCGTCTCTTCCTCTTGTCACACTGGCACAGCAGTAGCATCTTGAAGGTGTTTCTGAAGGTTTTGTTGCACAACGCATAGCACACAGGGTTCACGGTGCTGTTGATGTAGCACAGCCAGTAGCCCAGATTCCAATAGGTTTTGGGTATGCAGCTGTCACAAAAAGTATTCACCAGAACCATGATGTTGTAGGGGGTCCACGTGATGATAAAGGCGAGTAAGATGGCACTGAGGGTCTGCGCTGCCTTCTTCTCCTTGATGAGGGACATCCTCTTCCGCTTTGTGATCTGACTTCTGGTCTTCAGAGCAAACCTCTTGGCCAGTGTGGCTTCCTTGAAGGACAGAGGTAGAGTGGCCATGGTCTTACCCACCGAGGAGTTGGCATCAGAAGTCTTGGCTGTGTCCACGGTGGACTCCAACTGGATGGGAAGCTTGGAGAAGCTTTTTTGAAAACTGCCACCATCGTCCATACTCTTCTGGGTCTGAAGCTTACTGGCATTTCTCTCCATGTCCACTGGCCCTAGATCTTCTTCAGGTACTTGCAGGTTGTCAGAGGAGGGCAGTTTGGTGGAGTTGAGGATGGTGCTGTGCCCTGGAAGCTTGAGCACAATAGAGTAGATGGCTCTTGTCTCTGAGCCAATGTCCTCCTCATCGGAGGAGGCGGAGTTTTCCAGGGAAGCAGCAGCATCATTGTTGTTCCAGCTGTCACTGCTGCTGTGGTCTTGGTCCATCTGCTCAGCGCTGGGCTTCCAGCTCTTAGTTGTGAACCAGAAGTGGCAGCGGCCGTACTTTCTCCTGGATGAGTGCTTCAGGCTTTGCTGCTGCAGCTCATAGCTGCTGCAGCTTCGAGAACTGCCTGTGGGGTGGACAAAGTTTTCTGTCTCTGCTTCTGTCCCAGAGGCCTGCAGGCCAGCAAGCTCTTTGGTACGTTTTTCAGTTTCTTTATAGATTCTCCAGTACAAAATAGTCATAATGGTGACAGGCATATAAAAGGCGGCAATGGCCGTGCCGAAGGTGATAGTAGGCTCACTGAGAAACTGAATGAAACACTCCCCTGGAGGCACAGTCCGCTTTCCCACAAAATACTGCCAGAACAAGATGGCAGGAGCCCAAAGGACAAAGGAGATGACCCAAGCCAGACCAATCATCACACCGGCTCTCTTTGTTGTTCTTTTGGCTCGGTATGTGAGTGGCCGTGTGATGGAAAAGTACCTGTCAAAGCTAATGACCAGAAGGTTCATGACAGAGGCATTGCTGGCCACATAGTCAATGGAAAGCCAGAGATCACAGGCCAAGTTCCCCAAAGCCCATCTGTTCATGATGATGTAGGTAGTAAACAGATTCATGGAAATGACCCCGATGATCAGATCAGCACAGGCCAGGCTTAGGAGGAAGTAGTTGTTGACTGTCTTCAGTTGTTTGTTGACCTTAAATGCAACTATGACTAAGATGTTGCCGATGATGGTCACCAGGGCCAGGAAGCCCGTTAAGAATGCGATAAAGACCACTTGCCAGATGGTATGACCTCCTAAGGGGTCACTGGTGGTATCATTTAGGGAGGAGAAATTCCCAGCTGCTTGTGAAATGTTGTAGCTGCCGAAATGAGTGACTGTCCCTGGGGGTAGCCCTGCTTCTGACGGGCTGTGTATCCAGGAGGTGCTGATGTTTGGAAACAAAGGCAAGGTTGTACTGTTATTGTGCAAGGTCATTGTGACTCTCTGACATAGTCTGGGGAAAAAGAGAGAAAGATGGAGTTAGATAACTTTCTGTCTTTGCTACATTCTTTGCATCACGTACCAGAAAAGACACAGAAGACCTGTTATAAGATGCTGAATCTTGAAGAAGCCAAACATTATCAAGTTCTTTCTCTTAAGAGTGAAGCATCTAGGGTAAGATAAGGCAGTTATCCAGTGACATGTACTGATCACTGTGCTTTTCCCTACAATTTTCTCATTTCTAAATATATTCTGTGTACTGCTGTTGTCAAACGAAACAATATTCTTATTTCTCTTACTTCTCTTATTTTAAAAAGGAGGAAATAGTAGATACTTATATGACAATTATTCCACATAATTTATCATGCTACTTGATAAACTTTATTCATTTATTTTTAATCTGGTCATTTATTTGGCTTAGGTTTCAGATATAAACAACTTTAAGGCAATATCAGTCATTTAAGCCTCACTGGAAAGAGCAAAATGCCATCCCCAAGCAAGAGAGAAAGTAAGTGTAAATCAGCTCACATCATGTGAGTTGATCACATGATATTTTAAACATGGACTGAAGACACAATATACTGGTTTTGTATGTTTGGTACCATGCTCATTTCTTCTACTCCCTCTGAAGAACCTTCTTTGTTCCAACACCTTATTCAGGTCAAAGGTTCTTGCACATAGTAGCTACATTTCCCTCTCCTCTGCTAAGGTTGCCTTAAAGCCCTTTTTACAGACCTCCTCTTGCCACCCCACCTGAGGTCCTCTGAATCTTATATAGACTTCTACAATATATTTAAAAACTCTTAGCTATTTAAACACTTTCCAAGTCTCTGCTCTTACATCTAAGGGGGGGGGCAATCAGTTCCCATGTCTTAGGAAATGCTGATTTTATTATCAGTAAATGCATGGCCTAATAACCCCAATGCTTCATACATCTGTCTCTTTCATGGTTTTTATTCTTGTCAATAGATGTCATAATGTATGTGTGTTATTTGTCATTCTATAAGCTGCTCTTCTGGAAATAATCTGTCATCTACATCATATGTTTTGGGACAGGCATTCATTACTTGGTCCTGACTCCTGACCACAGTAATTACTTGAAGCCAACCCAAGGAGGGAGTCAAACTCAGGAACTGGTATGGATGTTGGTGAGAAAGAAATTGTCTCCTATCTGGGGCTGCTGTGTGCTGTTCACCCCATTGTTGACTGGATGGAAAACCTGAGAAGCTAGCAACACAGAGGAAAGAGATGCAGAAAGATGGGAGGGAATGTGGAAAACATAGGCATCATGATGAGGAGTCCTTTGAAAATTGGAGTTAGCTATTTCTAAATCCACATAACAACCTTCTTGATATTGCTCCTTATGTGTACCAATAAATTAATTGCCTTTGCTGCCTGGGCTAGCTGAGATAGGTTTCTGCCACCTGCAATTAAAAGGCTCCCAAATGACATATTTTGACATTATCAATACACATGCTTGCTGAGCCACTATTATGGTAGCTGTAGGGTGTTATGCTTTGTGCTGTGGAATTCAAACATTTACAGCTTCTGTCCTCTGTGAGCTATGCCCTCAAGAAATGGGACATGAATAAAATATTTTAAGAAGTATGAAGTTATTTAAGTAATATTAAATTGCTTCCTGTGACTAGTCACATAATGTTTTTACAAATTAAATAGCAACTGAACTGTTCAGTTGACCAATGTTATTGAAGAACATAAGCAAGAATTTTGGAAATCAGCCCAAAGGTAAATTCTTTTTTGTAGTTCATTTTATCACACGAATCTATAGAGTACCACAAGCTGTACAATATTCCAGTTTATTCAGGCATTGTTGAAATATAGAAAATCTAAGATACTGGAATAGAGGAAAGACACTGACAGTTAAGTTGAGATCTCTATGTGGTTCATTAAGTACCTGTCCTGCCCTGAGTGGAATCCAGCAGCTTCTTGACTAATCATTAGAAAACGGTGAGTCACAAGATGTGACCTTTGTCTCGTATTTTTTGACATATGCACTAGTGACCATAATTAATCTTATAATTCAACATTGAATTCTAATACCTTCTTCTTGAAAGTCTCAGAGATGTGCTTTTTCTCCTCTTTAAGATGTTTTATAGTTTGTCCATCATGCAATAGGTACAGATTATGAGCAGAGAAAAAAATTAAAGCTACAAAAGAGCCACTAAAGGGTAATGACCACCTGCTTACTCATGGGATACAACACCCAAAGGACAATAGTTAATAAATTAATAGGTAATAAGTTAACAGTTAATAACCATAGCACTGTCGATGCCAACACTTGTGCTTCTTTCTTGTAACCAGATATACAGAAAGGAGTGACTCTGGCAGATGAACATGACATTGAGGGAAATAAAGCTTTTTTTCAGATGGGAAGTGGAAATGATGAGGAAGCACATTGTCAGAACACTTGACTTGAAACTGGGAGAAGAGAAATGCCAATGAAATTTCAGGCACTCATCTGATGCTATGATACAGTGAGACACATTAATAGCAGTTCTATTAATACACAGGACACTCTCATTACAGCAATACTATTTCATTAGAGGACAGCAAAGCATATTTGAAAAGTCATGGTCTTTGGAGCTGGCTGATTAGGATTTGAGTTCTGGGTTAGCCCAGAAAGTACAGAAACTGGCAAGTTGCCTGATGACTCTGGGATGATACTTTTATTTACAAACTACCACCTATTTCAAGGAGCCTGGGAAGGGTGAGAAGCATTACAGTGTGGCAAGCTGATACTCCACAATATTAATGGATATGTAGCCTTCCTTTTCCCAGTGCCAACTTCCTACATTCTCAGAGTTGGGTTGTTTCTGCAAAGGCCCAGGGCTAAAGAAACCTATCCGCACTTAGACTTTGCTTTAAAAGTAGACTTTAAATACTTTGGTAGAGGTAAAGATATTAAAGATAAAGGTCTTTAAATGATGCAAACACTTAAGACTGAGCATCAGGGAATGGTGTACTGGCCTAAACTCCAGGTAAATAAGGATTTCCCCTTGCCCCATGAATTTGTCTAAATAAATTGAACACAAATATTGCAAAAAAGAGATTTGACAATATTAATCAACACTGAAAAACTATACACTGAGAACAAATTTAACATCTAATTATTGTATGTAAAGGAGATGTTCACAAAGAAGTTCACTGAAGCATTTGTTGTTATGACAAAAATTAAGAAATCTAAAGGACTATCAGTATTGGAATGAATTAAAATATAACACATAAAGAGAAATACTATGTAGAAGATAAAAGTAATCAGCACAATTTGTAAATATTAATCTGGAAAGTTTTAAAAATACACTGTTGAGTAAGAAAGTAATTTGGGAGTTGATAGGTATAGTGTCATATAACTATGCAACAGTGAATTACAAAGAAAAATAGCATATATCATATACTAAAGACAGCATAGAGCTTATGTATTTACAAGTTTAAGTTTATCACAATAGGACAGAGTGCCACAATTCATATATTAGCAATGGTATTTTGGTGGAAGATGATTAGGACTGAGGGTAATGGATAAAGAAAAAAATAACCATCATTCCTGAAGTCAGGGGAGTGGAAAAAGATTTAAAAAGAAGAAAGAAGATGGTGTTCATGTCCAGAATGGATTTGGAATCTTTCCCTCAATCTGGTGTGGCTTTTAAGTGGAAAAAGATTAAGGGAAAAATGTCTGACAGTATTGGTGATACAAGACCCACAAGTATGTGTTTTATGTCCGTTTTGGCTGGTGAGCTGCCACAGAGGTGGCAGCTGCTCAGAGTCATGAGGGCAGACCATCCTAGCTGAAAGCCCTTGGACGTAGATTCTTCTGTAATCCTGCACCCATGGGAACTCAGCCAGGCCAACCAGCCCCTTGACTTCAGGTTTGGGAGACCCTGAGTAGGAAATTGCTAAGTTTGTTATTTATTATGCAGCGTGGGGTCTTGTATCAGTTAGGTATGCTTACAATAGCTGCCTGCAGAGGCAGGTATGGAAAAGTAAAAATGGGCCATCCGTGCACTGGAGATCTGAAGAATTCAGTCAAAAGTCAAAGGCCAGGAGCTCACTGCAGAGTGCCATGTGAGTCCTTATCAGGAAGCCAAAGGGCCTGTGCAGGCAGCCTGAAGAGTGTGTGCTGCAAGTCTGAAGAATCTGTGCTGGAAGCCTGTAAACAGGTGCCTAAAGGTGATGGTGAAGACTTCTTTGAAGAAACAGAAGTGAGACATCTTTCTTCTTTCCTTTTTTATTTCATCCACGCTACAAGCCTATTGGTTGATGCCACCCACAGCAGGGATGCTTCTTCCTTCTTCAGTAAGGCGACCTTTCAGACACACCCAGAACCATGCTAAACCAATTTGCTGAGTGTTTCTTACTCAAGTCGACCCCACAGTTAACTCTCATAATCCACCCCCTGTCAACTCGAAACCAGACACATTTCCCTAACCCTTTCATAACAGGGGTGTAATTAGTATATGCCCAGTGCTGGGTGGCTTGAGTTACTGGTGGTACATACATGACTGTCCCATGCATATACCATTGGTGGTCATATGTGTACCATTGGTGGTTGAAGCTACTGAGAATGTGTTAAACTGTATTTCATCTCCAGATACAAAGACAAGTTCATAATTACTCCTCACATGTTACAACTATACTGTGTAGAAATGGAAACACACTAATTCCCTCCCCAGACCAGAAGGCAAAGTTTTCTTTGGGTGATGCATATTCCTAACATTTCATAATTTAAACATTATAACATAGGTTTAACAATACTTAAGAACCAATATTAGCTCTAGCAACATTATGTTGATAAGGAAGCATATTAACAAAATAACAGAGAGCAATTACAATACAATTATCACTTTTGTAACTGGGTGCAGGACCATAGCTAGTATTTATAATCACCTTCTTCTACTACACAGTCTATATTCCCTTGGCCTTCTGCAAGCACCTCAGTAGATTTTGATTCTTTTCCTGGTGGAGCAACCCATACCTTCATTCCTGAAGGTTCTTGGC